CACACACACACACACACACTTCACTTTACTGAAGAAATTAGTTTACCAAAGGAACAAGTTACTCTTGTTCCTTAGATATGTGACTCAGTTGCTTCACCTTTTATTGATTTTATGGCATCGGATGATTGTACTCGCTAAGACAACCATGTTGAGACTCGTTCTTTCTACTCTTCACCGCTCATTACCTTCATTTCTCACAGTCTACTGCAAGCACCTGATTATCAGGTGCATCCCTGATGAAGCTACCACAAAACTGGAGACAACTGCTCACTGGAGATTAAGGAAGGATAAGGAGTCCATAAGATGGAGCCCTGAGGTCAAAGTCAAGATTTATAGATTGGAAACCTCACACCAATCCCAGAGAAGTCATTTGGATCACTCTGGGGCACAATGTCCTCATTTATAAAATGATAGCGGTGGGACTGATGATAATGAAAGGTCTCTTCCTACCTAATTCTCAGTGATTCTTCTGATCTTACATTACATATCACTCTTGGATGTTAGAATAAATTTGTTATGGCAGAAAATTTTATTTTTCTTTGAGCCCACAAATCCTTGAAGAGGTCAGCAAACACTTGCTTTTAGATAATACGGCACAGCTAGAATAACCAAGGGCTTTAATTTTCAAGCACTGTAGTTTTTTCCTCAAGAAGAGAGCTCTTGGTCATAGACAAAACAAATCTCTTTACTCCCCAAACAGTCAGGACAGAAAGACAATCATTAATAACAATCTTTCAGGAGAATGACTAACAATGATCCTCCAAAGTTCAGCCTTTATGTATGTTAGTGAGAAAGATTTAAATAGCTGAGCCCTTTTGAATAAAGTTTAATGTGTATAAAATATCCTGCTAAATTAAGATTAAATGTTAAAAAGCTTGGCTTTTATCCAAATGTATGAGGTTCCTTACTCAGAAATAACTCATAACTTTAAATTCAATATGGCCTCTGGTAAAGCCTATAAAAACAAGGGGAACATTCTACATTGATAATGCATTTATAGACCACTATCTCTGTAAAGGAGAATAATTAAAATGGAAGTCGGTATAGCAGGACTGTGCAATATGCAGCCAATTCAAATCCCACAATTTATGGGTTATATTTTCACATGATGGGTAGGTTTTTTTCCCCCTACAGAAATACATGTGCAATAAAAATCGTATCTGTTGGCACGGGAATAATATCCCCATTAGCACATAAGAGAAATGAATCAAGGTTTACTGCTAGAGTTTTCAGGAGCTGCTATTTATAAAGTAAAATATTAGTAACCAGCCACCACTGTGTTGCTCTCCTAAGGCAATAAAACTGGCAAAAGAGGGGTTTTCTATTAAAACTGGACACATATACTCCCTCTTAGGTCATATCTTCTATCCTTATTCATTTTTCCCTCTCTGTAAATCTCACTTTTCGGCACTTTTTTGAGGGGGACTACTTGGCTTTCAGTATTC